GGCTCTGCTCTTCCAGCGTGTTGACTTTGCTCTCAGACAGTATCTCCCCTTGGGGTCAGAAGGCAGATACTGCAGCTCAGCTTAACTCCCGCAGTGAAAAGGGAGCTGAAGATAGCCAGTGTCCCCCAGGAGCTGGCAGGCAGTGGGTGAGGAGTACAGGAGGAAGCCCACGCGTAGCACACGGGCTGGGAGTGGGAGAGGCATGGCCTTGTAGAAAAGGTACAGCACCCAACTTTTCTTTTTTAAGAAAGGCAAATAGATCTAACAGTCCAGACCCCTAAAAAAACCACTTTTGGTTCAAACCTAACTTTTGACAGGACCTATTTATATGACTTGATAGAGGAGAAACTCACAGAATAGGAGGTCTTTGCTACTTGCTCAGGAAGTTGAGTTACAATTTGGACATGAGCATCTTCCTTTCATTTTGTACCATTTATTCTCAGTCTAACAGAGTTTCCTCGAGTTTTTCTGATATTTGCTTGGCACCTGTATCCAGCTGTCAGCACCAATCCAGACTTACCCTATTTTTATATATCTTCTGTAATTTCATTTAGTATTAGGAGAAAGGGCCACATTATTGTAAGAAAACCAAGTCCACACTTTTTGCTTATTCAGCCTGGAACCTGTCTTACGTGAAATATTTCAACTTGGAAATGCAGCTTCTCTTCCTGTGTGCAGTTATGAGAGAGCAAGAAATTTAACTTTTTTTGTCAAATGTTTCAAATATCGGAGACTCGGTAAAATCCCATTTCTGGCAACACTGAGGGGAAACGGGAAGGCAGTAATGAGCAAAAGCCTCCAGGGAAAGGAGGATGAAGAGTGAGTGGTTTCTCCTCCGTGGTGCAGGGGCCGAGCAAGTCAGGGCTTCTGAGGGCGGCTGCTGCCAAGGGCTCTGACTCGCCTGCCTCGTGGGCCAAGGCTTGCCCTAGCCACAGTAGTTTACTATGCCCAGACAAAAAAGGAAATTCATGAACAGAAAGACTGTCAAGTGTGTGGCTGCTGCCAGGAATCCGAGCCAGACTCTCCTGGTTGGGCTTCTCCTTGGCCTTCCCTCCTTCGCAGGGGTATAGCCTGGCCAGGTGAACCGATCTGACCACCTCTCTGTGTACGACTGTGGCTAGCTTGGGAAACATGGCCTTGCGGGGCTCCTATGGTCCCTTCTTAGGCTGGATGAGGATACCCATTGTCACAGAGCCATGAACATGCTGTGAGTATCCCCATCTAGGTGTGCAGGCAAAGTCCTGGTCTCATGCAGACGTGATACATCCACCTGCCTTGGGTGACCGTGAAGGTTGGACAGGGCTTTCTCCAAGCCATTTTACCTTATTTTCTTCTATGATGCCCATCCGGCCAGCCTGCACTGCATACGCTCATTGAAGTCAAGAGGTTTGCTGGAGAAGATTGTAAGAGGCCACATGGCTAGGATGGAGCCACACAGCATCACTTAGCTCAAGGACAGTCAGCACCTCTTGGCTTAGACTCAGAGCTAAGCAGGACCCCGGCCATACCTTGCCCACTCTCAGGCTGACCATACACTGCTGCTGGAAGGCAGGCCCTGGAACACAGAACATTTTGCTGAAGTCTTTTGATGTGTAGGAGCTTCCAAAGGACAGGGTTGGAGCCCTGACTGCTTTGCCAACTGGATGGGCGGCTTTGGGTGACTCTCTTTCCTCTATGGGCCACAGTCGTAGCAAAACACATAGGGTCTCTGCCATGCCCTTGTGGAGCATTTATATTATTCTTCCTCTAGGAAGCCTTCCCTGCTGCACCCCATAATTGCATCAGGTGCCTGCTGGCTGACCAATCAATGAACAGCTCTCACCTGAGGACCTTGAGTTCTAGAACACAGGGCCTCTGGTCTGGAGGGGATCTGAGGAGGGTAGGAGGGACTTGGGGAGACTGGGCTGAAGCAGACTGAGCTCCGTTCCCTCCAGCTTCCTGTCCCTGAGAGTGCCGTGGGGCATTTGTAAAGCTCATTAGTGAAGCAGCGATTAATGTGGGGCCCAAAGCATGGCTTCCTGCTGCCAGGGAGGCCACAAAGTTCCAGAACATCTCGGGGAGGAATGGTGAACCACCCAGGCCTGCCTCCTGGGGCTGCAAAACAAGCCCTAATGAGTCCTCTCCTGGGGAGGGTGAAGTCACCTGCGAGGAGGCAGCTGAGCCTAAGGTGTTCTCCAGGAGGCTTAAAATAGCCAGGCTGCCTCCACAAACACCTTCCCAACACTGTTTAGGATGGTGAATGCCAGGAAACTAATGAATCTGAGCTTAGTGAATTAATTGTTGATGAAATAATGTGAATAGTGTGCTTCCTGTTCATCAGTCTCTACAGAAATTAATTAGCCCCGCTTGGCAGCAAGCAGGATCAAATTTTCAACTTAATTTATGAATTTGGCCAAATTGTCTATGGGAAGTCTTGCCTGGAGCACCTTCCATGGCTGGTTCGTGTCCCGACAGGCCTTGCCTTTCATAGAAGACATGAGTGCTTTCAGAGTCCCAACCATAGAAGGGGGCAGTGGGGGAGGCAGAAGAGGTGCTCCCCAGTGAGGCTTTGGCTGCGGGACTCCAGCCAGACCCACGCCTCCTCCAGTCTTCCTGCTGCAGCCCTCCCCGGCCAGGGACCCTTCACCGGAGGAAGGTCTGCTCGTGGAGCCCAGGGAGGATGACTCAGAGCTACGGGGCTGACTTTCAGGCACGGCCTATGTTTGGTTTTAATTATTATGTGCCGTGCGCACCAACTCAAATTGCAGGATGATGTGAAAGAAAAATAAATCTAATGAGAAGTGTATTTTTTTGACTTGTAAAATAGGGAGCATGGGGCCTTCTTGGGTCTGGGGAGACTAATGTGACTAATTGGCTCTCACGGGGCATATGTTAGCTCCTTGGTCCCCTGCGTTCCCGAATGGAGCTCAGAGGAACTACTGGTGGCGGGTGGCAGCCCAGCTCTCTGACTACAGCTGGGTGCAGCCAGGAATCCCAACCGGACTTCCCCCAAGGAGCAGTCAGGAATCCAATGTGACTGCTGAGCAGAGTGACCGCAACGTCACCAGTCTCTGAAACACTTCTGGGAGAGAGTGTGCGAATGCGTGTCTGTGTGTGTCTATGCCTTTTTATGTTCCCAAAACACCAGTTTTCTTATGAAAAGCCTGCAAACCACTGAGTCAAAGAGGAGTGAAAGGGATAATGGAATGAGTTCCAGCCTCGCTGAGAAGTTCCGACCAGCCTCAGGAGGCAGGAAGGGACGAGAGCCCCTGTGGTCATTTCTACTTCTTAGAACTACTCAGTAATTCAACCAACAATTCAGCACTGGGGATATAGTGAAGAATGTGCTCTTGAAGCTTATGTTTATTATAAACACAAACATGAACTATCAACATCTGCTTTCCTAGTCTAGTAAAACTTGTTAACTATTAGACTTATTAACATTTTATCATTGGCCAAATTACCAAACTCTGTGTTCTATATTAGTTTCTGTTTTTAAAATGAAATATGCATTGCCCGATTTATATGTACATCATCATCTCTCATGCATGCGTGGCTATTTAAATTCATCTCTGTACAGATACCCTCAAATTTAGTCCAAAAAGGTCGTTATCTGCTACAGGGAAACCTTATATGTTTCAGGGCATATACGGTGCAAAAAGAAGCCTCTTTGCCCATGACTTTGATCATTTATAGGTGCTGTTAGGTCCCTGAGAAGAATATTCTTGTGGGAGATTTGATTCTTGACTGAGAAGGACTCACCTGGGTGCCCAGGTCTGTGGCTGTGGTCAGAAAAGCATACTAAATGCAGGGTGCTGGAGCAGAGCAAGTGCTGGCCTCCTCCCCGTAGGCGTTTGCAGCTGCAACCAGACTACCCTTCCCTTTAGGAATTTGTGATGTTATTACCAGCTCACTCTATGACCTCAGGCTGTGTCTGCCCTTTGTTTACCTTTGTTCTCAAACTGGCAGGTATATAATTCCATGGTTCTCTCAGGTAGCTTCCTGGGAGAAGGTAGATTGAGATAACAAAGGTGTGTGTGGAGACAGCTCCAGTTGGAGCTCTGGGCAAAGCATTCTGATGTGCTAAAGAGCTAAAGCGTGGTCTTCCTTCAGCCCAACTGCCCAGGGAGACTGAGCCACTGTTCCATAACAAACGTCCTTTACTCTCTTCCCTCACTCCTTCACCCACGCGGGGCCGTCTTGGATGAAAGGATCCCACCTTCTTGGATGAAATGCCTCTTAGGTCCCACTCCATGGGGGCTGCTTGGAATGTGTTCTCTGGAAGTAATTTCTTGCCTCCTCTGGTGCCATTTGTGTCTTGTCTCACCTACAGATTGCAAAGTCCTCACGGGAAAGACTGCATTCTTAGTCTTTTTTGTCTTCTATTGTCTTAACATGGAGGAGGGGCTCAGTCTATGTCTGTTCTGTATCTATTCCACCCTGGAAATGTTTGAGGACCAATTCCTGTGGATCAAATATGATGAAATCTGATGAAAAAGATCTTAATGCTCAGTCCGATCGTGCTGACCATCTGAAAGTTTTTCTTCACTGAAAGCAAATGAGCAGAGTGATTCTCCTAGTGCCCCATTGCCCAGAAAAGTGACTTAGTACTGCCTCTCCATCTTACCTTCCTCCTCCCTCATTCTTTCTGCTATTTTATATGTTACTCCAGCATAGAAAACAGACTAGGAGTTGACAGTGAGAGCCCAGAAACCAGGGTTCAAATCCCAGCTATGCCACTTTCGAGCTGAAGATCTTGCACAAGCCATTTGATTTGCCCGAGCTTCAGTTTGCTTACCTGTGAACTGGAGATAGTGACATCTGTCTTGCCTGTCTCCAAGGTAGCTATAAAAGTTAAATGAGGTAATGTACGTGCAAGTACTTTCAAATAGTTCAGTGTTTTCATTGTTTGAAAATTATTGAGCTGTGCAGTTAAAACATGGGTATGTATATCACACTTCAGCAAAAGGTTTTTTATTAAGTAACATTTATGTAGACATTTCCAATGGTATTGTTGTTAAACTACCTGCTGAAGAAATGATGCTAGGGTAGTAAGTGGGTTTCATGTCACAAACGTATAATCCATGGATCATGATGCCTGGGAGTCAGGTTGTGAAGCCTTTAAGGCCATATTGTGGCTCAGCTATAAAGTCCTGAAGATCACCTAGTGATGTCTGCCATGGACGCAGGAAAGGAGAATAGAGACACATGTAGTATATACTAATGGGAAAGAGACAAGAATTAAAAATGATGAAAGTTTACCTTTATGACAAAAAATGCAGTGTTGATTTCATTTAAATTTTGCTCCATAAAGAACAAATAAATAAATGATACTCTGCTTGTAACTCTAAATTAGAGTTTAATTAACTGTAATTGATAGTAATCAAATGACTTCTATATGCTCTGCACCATCTAGCATACTGGTGTGATGCTAAGATTTGAGTTCTCAAACAGCCACATGCAACTTGAGAACACTGATCTGAGTTAATACTTAATGTCAGTTCTCTTAATAAGAGGTATTCAGAAGTTCTCATTAACTAGCTGATGAAAATGTCCATGGTTCTCTATGCCAATTTAAGCAATAAATATTTATTTTTACCAACTCCAAGTTACAAAAGAAAGGAAAGGATGGGAATGGTTTTCCCCAGAGAGGAGGAGCTGGTGGTCTGGAATAGGTACAGGAAGTTCCCTGCTTAAAAAATATTTTCCATATGCTCTGCACCCGGTAAATTAATCTGGATGAAAATTCAAAAGCCCTTAGAGAGTGTCAAACCTCATTCCAGTCAATGCTTAGCTGATGTCAGCATTTGCAGAAGAGGAATTTGATTGGGCAAAGAAATAAGAAATGCTTCAAACTATCATTTGACCACCCTTCCCGCTGCTTTCCCCCATTCCCCATGTGCTGTCAGCGCACCTCGCCTGCTGTTCCTTGAGCACTTGGTACACTCACAAGCTTCCACATCTTGACACACACTTTTCCCTCTGCCGACAGTTGTCTTCTCTACTAACAACTCCTATTCACTCAGCTCCTCAGCAGAGTTGTTCCTGATTCCACCACGTGTAAAGGACCTGTGAGGAAGGAGAATACTTAGTTTTCCCCTAAAGACTTTGCCCACTCTGTTTCTAGGTCCTTTCTCGGTGCCTCTGTTACATCCCCCATCACAGCTGGATTAACACAAGTAGCTCATGTGCAAGGAACACTTACCTCTCCTTCGAGAGGACAAGCCTTTCAATGGCAAGAGTGTTTTCCTCCCTGTCCCTGCCTCTTCCTTACTAGGTGTAGTTCAGTGCAATAATCACAGACTTTCTTGTGATGTGGGAACTCTAAAATATATCCTCAGCAAGTGCAAGGAGCCAGCTATGGTTTGGTTTCTCTGTAATCAAAAAAAAAACACAAGGGAAAAAAATTGACATATTATAACTGTATGAAAAAAAATGCTTGAGAAATGAAATAGCATGGATTTTAAAATAAAGCCATTTTAAGTTCTTATAGGCTCAATTTTAAAAAATAACAATCTGTCAAATAAGTAGATATTTGGAAATCTACATAGGAAATATAAGTTTTGAAACAAGTATATAAGGTAACTCAGACTACATGATATAGCTATTAAAATTAGTATTACATAGACTGATAAAGTATTTTTATGAAGTGACGTTGAGTAAAATAGATAGATAGATAGATAGATAGATAGATAGATAGATAGATAGATAGATAGATGGATTATGATACCATAGGTAGAACTTATGCATGAACAAAAGACATATTATAAGAGAACATACCCCAAAATAAAAATAAAAACAGAGGTATGTTTTTGTTTGGAAGAATGAGATGGTGGGTAATTAACTACTTTTTAAATTACTGTTGGTTGTATAATAAAATTGGGAAGGAGGGACACAAAGTGAAAAATCTCACTAAACACATTATCAGTTAACCACATGTGTGGTTTATGCTCTTAGTTGAACCACATAAAGAAGGCACTTCTCTCCAACTGAGGTCAACATTCTCTTCATCTTTTTAATTTTTAAATTCTCATATTATTTTAAAGCGATAAAAATTCTCCGAATAAAAATTTTCACTTCCAGCAAGGGGAGGCTAGCTCATTTCCCACTGATGCCAACATCACTTGGAAAAACTAGATAAATACTGAGGAAAATAAAACCTGTTTGAAGTCATGCAAAAGCTATGCAGGTGGCGGACCGGAGGGGCCAAGATCCCAGAGAGGAGGGAGGCAGAGAGGTGAGCCAGGGGGCCGCAGCCAGTCTTGCCTTGGGGCACTTGTCAATTGTAAGGCAGCAGCTGAGAGAGCATGGCTTTACACAGAGAGCTGCAAAGGAGCCCTAAGAAGCCAGCTAGAGGTCACAGCAGTCTCCTAGGGCTGGGGAGGAACCAACATTCAGGGACCACCAGTGAGGAGGGGCCTTGATAAATACCCAGCAACTCCTTTGCAGTCCCTGAAGAACTCAGCTAGCACCCACAAAGAGCCCAGCTTCACTTCGTGGTAAGAGATAGTAACACACTTCTTTTAGTAGTAACTCATAGAATAAGTGGACAAAAGACAAATAATGACATGGGAAGATTTGAATGAACTTGATCTGATTGCACACGTTTTACCTAATAAATGCAGAGTGCATATTCTTTTTAAGTGTGCATGGGACACTTTACCAAAGTTGACCATATAATGCTGGGTCAAAAATTAAGTCTCGGCCGGGCGCGGTGGCTCACGCCTGTAATCCTAGCACTCTGGGAGGCCGAGGCGGGCGGATTGCTCGAGGTTGGGAGTTCGAAACCATCCTGAGCGAGACCCCGTCTCTACTAAAAATAGAAAGAAATTAATTGACCAACTAAAAATATATATACAAAAAATTAGCTGGGCATGGTGGTGCATGCCTGTAGTCCCAGCTACTTGGGAGGCTGAGGCAGTAGGATCGCTTGAGCCCAGGAGTTTGAGGTTGCTGTGAGCTAGGCTGACGCCACGGCACTCACTCTAGCCAGGGCAACAAAAGTGAGACTCTGTCTCAAAAAAAAAAAAAATTAAGTCTCAACAAATTTCAGAGTTTTGAAATGATACAGGATATGTTCTAGGATCACAATAAAAATCGCTTTTATATCAGTAACAAAAATGTAACCTAAAAAATTCCCAAATGTTTGGATATTAAGCAATATACTTCTAAATACCCATAGATCAAAGAAGAATCACAATGGAAATTCTAGAATATTTGAATTAAATGATAATAAACATATGACATCACAATGTGTGGGATGTAGCTAGAGCCAGGCTTAGAGGGAAATTTATGATGTTAAATACATACATTAGAAAAACAAAAGGTCAACTATCAGAGTGTTTACCTTGGAAAGTTGGAAAAAGAACTAAATTAAACCCAAATAAAGTGATCAACACTTAGGTGCACACATGGAAGTAATATTCACTGGGTGCCAAGCAGGTGGGAGGGGTAAGGGGTATGGGTAAACTCATAACTCATGGATGCCAAGTGCACTGTCTAGGGGATAGGCACACTTGTAGCTCTGTCTTGGATGGTGCAAAGCCAATATATATAACCAAAATGTTTGTATCCTGTAATACTCTGAAATTAAAAAAAAATAAAAAAATTAAAAAATAAAAATAAAAAAACCCAAATAAAGTAAAAGAAAGGAAATAATAAAGATAAGAGCAGAAATTAATAGAATAAAGAAAAAGAGTTAAGAGGATCAACAGAACCAAAAGTTGATTCTGTACAAAAAAAACAATAAAAGTGATAAGATTTGGCAAGATTAATCAGGAAGGAAAAAGACACAAATAAACCAATGTCAGAAATGAAACAGGATACATCACTACAGTTCCCACAGGCAGGAAAGCCCTTGACAAGGGAATCTCTCAATCTAATGATATAAAATAATAATGCTAACTTTAAAAACATTTTAAATAGCAATAAAAATGGTAGAATTACTTAAAGACATTGCCAGTTGTTTTTTAAAGATGAGACCCTAGATATATAAATTTTAATTATACCTCATGGACCTGGGCTTGACAAAGTACTCACTACACTTCTCATAGCATGAAATATCTGGTAAACTTGGAATTTCAGCAGTTAAATTTGGGAAAAGATTAAAAATCCCCAAAATTACACAATATAAAAGATATAAAAGCCCAAAAAGCTTAAAAGAGCCTCTTATTTAGACCTCACCTTTAAGGTGAACAACACCTGAAAATATTTGGGAGAGGCTATAGAATCCCAAACTTCCTTAGTCACCAATTAAACTATCAGTATAGCCTTGTGATTTTTCATGTGTATTTCTAGTGACAGCCTAAATAGCATTATATCTTTGCTGTGCTTTGTGACTAATTTTTTTTAATTCCAAAATATTAAGGAGATACAAGTGTTTCTGTTACATGGATACATTGCATCATGCTGAAGTCAGGGATTTTAGTAAGCCAGTCACCAAGATAGTATTCATTATACTTGATAGGTAAGTTTTATCCCCCACCTGTTTCTCCTCTTCTTGGTTTCCAACGTCATTTACGTCTCTTCGTGCCCGCGTGTACCCATCATTTAGCTCCCACTTATTGGTGAGAACATGTGGTGTTTGTTCTTCCATTCCTGAGATACTTCACTTAAGACATTAGTCTTCAGTTCCATCCAAGTTGCTGCCAAAGACATCATTTCATTCCTTTTCATGGCTGAGTAGTACTCCATGGTATAGATACACCACATTTTCTTTATCCTATGTGATTAATTTTGAACAACTATACGATTAGAACACAAAACTAAACAATATGTAGATTTATAACCATTTTTAACAGTACTGGTCATGGATTGTGTTTCAAATTTTTGTTAGCCAGCTCCCGACACTATGAATAACAACTTGTAACTACCCTGTTTATTTAAGCCAGGGGTCCTCAAACTTTTTAAACAGGGGGCCAGTTCACTGTCCCTCAGACCATTGGAGAGTGCACTGTAGGCCCGGGACAAGTCGGCTGCTAAGCAGGACAGGCAGCGGGGACAAACACACCCAGCGGGCCGGATAAAAGTCCTAGGCGGGCGGCATGTGGCCCTCGGGCTGTAGTTTGAGGACGCCTGATTTAAGCATTTACCTTGCTGGGACAGTAAAGCCCTTTAGATCAGTAACCATCCCTTGAAAATTTTAAAAGCTCACCTTTTGAGTGACAAAGGCTGAACCCAGTCCCATCTAGCTCTCTGCTTTATAGCCTAGGGACCCTGTTCTGCAAGAAACAATGAGTGAACTGAGGGAAAATAAGTGATCGATATGATGCCATCATGTCGAGGGCACTAGAGCAAGAACCCGGCAATCGAGTTTTAGGTGTAATATGTAATTAACTTAGTTTTACATGTAACTTAACTGTGTGAACTTGAGTATGTCCCTTCCCCTGCTGGGTCTGTTTCCTCATCTGAGAGGGGACAGGGAGGGTCCAGGTGATCTCTGAGGGAGGAGCCTACCTAAGCTCAACCTCAGAGGCATATCCTGTCTTGATGAGGAAGCAGCAGAGATTCACTCCCAGGCTGGCCCCAGGGAGATTGGGCTCCTACTGGCAACTGGTTAGCCCTGGACTTAGTGGGCGGATCAGGGGATATGAAAACAGGGGCCCCTCTTCCTGTGTTTAAATACCCTAATGTGTATCAGTGTCATCAGGTGATTCTAGAGCCCCCTCACCCCTACCACATTTGTCCACTTGAGAATGCTGAGTCCAGTAACAGTGAGGAGAAGGCCAGCTTGTCCCGTGTCTGGTAGTCCCAGGGGCACCTGTATTATGCAGGTTCTCCAGAGAAATAGAACATGTGAGATATGGTGACAGAGAGATTTATTTTGAAGAATCAGTTCATGGATTATGGAGGCTGGCAAGTCCAAAGTCTGCAGGGAGGACTGGCAGGCTGGAGACTGAGGGAAGAGCCAGTGTTGCAGTTCAAGTCCATTTGCTGACAGAATTCCTTCTTGCTTGGGGGGGAAGTCCGTCTTTGTTCTATTAAGGCCTTCAACTGACTGCATGAGGCCCACCTATGTTACGGAGGGTAATGTGCTTTACTCAAAGTTCACTGATTTAAATGTTAATGTCAACCAAAAAACACCCTCACAGAAACATCTGGAATAATGTACCCATGGTGCCCAAATACCTGGGCACCATGGCCCAGCCTAATTGATACATAAAATTAACCATCACAAATCTACCTCTTCTCAACATAGCATCCATACACGTGTCCTTAAGCTATACTTAATCTCCAATTAAAGACAATAACAGGGTCATACTTTCACCTGTCAGTTGTAACTGATACAGCTATCTTGTGTATAACCAAAAACACACTAACCCTTTCCCCAGAAGAGGGTACAAACTCC